GGCCTCATGTTGCCAAACCCGTTAAAACCTACTTGGAAACGCTCAAATGGGAAGTCCTACCCCACCCGCCATATTCCCCAGATATTGCGCCGTCCGATTATTACTTGTTCCGTTCGATGGCACATGGTCTGGCTGATCAGCAGTTCCGCTCATATGAAGACATCAAAAAATGGCTTGATTCGTGGATAGCCTCACAAGACGAACGCTTTTACCGTAACGGTATTCGAGCTCTGCCAGAAAGATGGGAAAAAGTTGTAGCTAGCGATGGGCAATACTTTGAATGATTCATTTGTAACCATTTTTTCACAATAAAGTTGCATTTTCATAAAAAAAAACAGCGAGAACTTAGTTGCGTACCTAATATATATATTTATTTTATTTATATATTTTATATATATATTTCTTTAAGGTCTTTAAATGGCGCCCAGAGCCATCTATTGAGAAAGAGAGAGAGAGAGAGAGAGAGAGAGAGAGAACCATGGAGTGCAGTTTAACCACCGTGGCGCATAGACGTGTCCAAATTTGTTCGGACGTGATCTAAGATTTTTTTGGAAACAATCCTCGAAATTATATATATATATATATTTTTCGGGGAATATTAATTCATATTTAATTTATAATTCAAATTCTTAATTCATATTTAACAATTAGAATAGTGTTGGGAAAAAATCGTAGGATTATCTTGAACCAATATTGAGAGAGAGATAGAGAGAGCATCGACCATGCCAGGTGCGAGCGACTTTGTGTTGGTGAGTCGTCGAAGAAGACACTGTGACGGAAGGAGAATTTTAAACAAAGGAGCGAAAGTCGCGCAAATCCCCGAGAATTACGAGATCGACTGCAAGCATCTTCTCCGGTAAGTCGTCACACTCTCGTCCCATTTAACGGCAGCGAGGCCATCAAGGTCCACTGGTTAACCTAACCTAACTTAATCTACCTACATTAATTTGACGAAAATACGTTCTTCTCTCGTTTTACGACGGTTTTTCAGCGCATTAGATCGCACGCTAGTCGAGATCAGAGACACACCGTTTGTCAAGCTCATTCTTAGCCACCTGACGGATTCATTGACCGTTCTAAACTCTAATGGTATATCCGAGATAGTCTGCTACGGGTTAGGACGATTCTCTCAGTACAGGTCGTCGAGATGTCAATTGGCGTTGCTACTGTACCTAAAGGAGCGATACGGCGCTCGCGTGTATGCGTATGACCCGATATTTTACCCCGAAGAAGTACAGGCGTTGCGTGCCTTGGGTCTGGAGATTATAGAGACGAACGAGGAAGGCAAACGCGTCGTTCGGGATGAGATAACTACTCTCGTGTTCATGCCGCATTGCTCCAAGCAACTGACGAATAATTTTCTCTATGCAAACTGGGGAAGCGGCTTGAGCAACTGCATCCTGTTCGCCAATAGTTTCACGAAGATAATCAACGATTGCTTGCGGAGAGAGATATTGGAGACTACAGGTTATATTCTGCGCATTCAGCCTTATGTTACAGAAATTCCATTGGAAAATTCTTTCGTACACGAGACAGTTTTCAATGACCTCAGCATTCATATCTTTATCAAGCAAGACTTACTTCGGGCTTCGTCAGATTTCTGGGACTTCAGAGAAGAACCGCGATATTCATTGGACGAAATAAAATTTCTTTCAGCGACGACACGGTAACAAATAATTATCGCACTGTAATTATCTCCTCTTGACTTTTATCTAGTGATTTAGGATCTTATTCTAAATTCTTTCAGGATAAACATAAGAGATCTGTTCTTTTTAGTTGAACTCGCTGAACTGCACATTGGTGCAATAAGTTAGAGTTTAGCTAGTTCAGCTAGGAAGAACAGATCTTATGTTTATTTTTATTTTCTACTGCTGAACTGGCTGCACTAATTTATACTAATTCTCTTCTCCTCTTTCTTCCACCAAGTCTCAACCAAGTCTCTTGTACCTGTCTCTTTTTATGTTCCATAAGTGTACACTAGTTGAGCGATAAAGAATAGACTTATATTCTAGCATATTATTTGAATAATGACTAAATTGAATATTGTAACACAGATACACATCCTCAAATAGTGAGAATTATGTCAGTAGATAAAAGAAGGCATTTGATGCCAAGAAAATTGTCATTTATTTGCTAACAAGAGAACTAATTGATCTAAAATTATGCAATAATTAGAAGTAAACGTTTTGATTCAAAATATGGTGTAATGAAATAATATTTCTTAAAATAATATGTTTTAAACATATTGTACTGTTTATAACAATATCACTAAGTATACATTCAATGTTTACATACTATATTCAGCATTTTTGTCTGGACTCTTTTATCGATAAAGAGTTTAGAATAAGGATCCAAGACGTGATTTCCCATGGATGGTCGCATTAATGGTTTCCGCTTTTAGATAAAATACAGCGACAATGAATAATAATATCAAAATTGTGCGCTCTCTTGTGCAACAACTCCGCCGAGTCTCGCAGAATAAGAGCACGAAGGAAAATGCCATGTTACAGTATATTATGGAGCAAGCACACGTTCACAAGGAAACGTCTGAAGTGTTGTGCAAGGCAAGAGAGGAACTGAAGAATTTGGCGGAAATGTATTTTTGTTATCTGAAATCTCAACAAATGTGTAAAGATATTCATAAACAATATGCTGGTAAAGGTGAACGTAGTATACAAGAAACTGCAGATCTTGTGGGTTTTAAATTGCCCCATGATCCGAAGTAAAACTGTTAAATAGAAATAGAAATGAAAATGTATACATAGAAGCATTTAAAATATATTATTAAAATATATTAATAATACCCGAGTCTTCTCCATATTCACTATATATTTATTTATCTACTATATTATTATTATTATTGAAATTTTATTCATCCAACACTCTAGGACAAATTCCTTAAAGCGTAAATCCCAATTGGTACTGAGAACAAAAATTTAGCTTAAAGAATAAAAGAACTAGCTTCTCAAAATGTATAATATCAAAAAAGAGAATATGAAATAAATTCTTCTATCAGCAACTTTAAGCCATAGTAATTTGTAAAAATATGGTGAAATATATACATTTTTCTTTTTTTATCCCATATATGAAACGCACATATGTATTTAATGAATGCTGCAAACAGATATTCTGATCTTTTGTGATTCCTGTTATAACTATTATGTTAAGTTATAACAATAATAAATATATATTGAAATAATATATATATATATATATAAGAAAAAATAAAATTTTCAATTAACTTTCAATTAAACTTTCTATTTCGTCTTTTTAAAGTAAAATATAACATTTTTGCATATAATTTAAGCTGGTATAAAATAGAGTTTACTTTTCTTGTTACTTTGGTTGTTTGAGATGTAGTAGATTAGTAATTGTAACACTTAGGTAAGGTGACATATGTTGAAAATTGCACTTTAGTATTTTTAATAATCAATGTTTTATTTTGTCTCTGTAATTTAAATTTACTTTTTAATATATTTTTTGTGTATTTGTACTTTTAAGGAGAATGGTACATATATATAATAATAATAAACACATTTTTCTAAACTTCATTGAGTCGTATAAAAGTACAAAATATGTTTGATATTTGAAACTTCCATGGAATGGGCAGATACTCATTTTGTTTTCCGGTTTGGCGCCGCGTCCTTTGCAGCTTTATTTCTGATGTGTTTAGAATATTTCAGTTCACTTCATCAAGGAAGAGAGCAACCTGATATGGTATCGATGAACTGAAATATTCACGAAACATCAGAAATAAATCCAGAAAGAATACGGCGCTAAACCAAAAATCAAAATGACTACAAAATATGTTTTTCAAATAATGATGTGTGTATGTGTGTATACTTTGTCTCTTAGTTATAATACATCGTATGAGCTAAATATAAACCATACGTTCAAGGTTCATACCAAACGCGGCCAGAATTGTTACGAGTAATCTTTGCGTATGCATTTTGCAATCGTTGATAGCTGCATATTGCTCGTCCCCTCGTATATCGTGCCGATCTTTGAGTCTCGGAAGAATTTCTCTTGAGGAAAATCTGTCGTAAATCCAACGCCACCCATAAAGTCTATGCACTTGGCGGTGACACGCACTGCAGTCTCTGTGTATGCGCAACGTACGTATTTTATTGCAATTATCAATTTTAAGTTTATAAGAAAATTGAGATTAATGAAGTATATACCGGATGCGATTAACTTGGCCATGGCTGCTTCTTTCATAACATCTTTCTTAGCGTCCACTAATCTAGCTGCATTGTAAACCAACAATCTAGCGTACTCTACTTCGGTTACGGCTTGAGCTATTTGATGTTGCATCGACTGAAAATAGAAGTTATCTCTCAAATAAGAGGATTCACGGGGATTTATCAAAGAACAATAAACAGATCCACGGGGACAATCATTTATCAAAGGACAATAAACAGATCGTACTTGGAATGAAAAAATGTCCTTTCCAAATTGTTTCCTCTCCAGCGTGTATGGTATAGTCGCGTCCAAACATCCTTGAGCAATGCCGATCATTTGAGCCCCTATACCGACCCTACCCTCGTTCAAGAATCCAGCAGCGTACTTGTATCCATGTCCAAACTGACCCAAAATGTTGCTTTCAGGTATCTAGAAAGTGTAAAACAGAAAATTCCGAATTACGTGGAAGAAGTAAAATGAAAGAAAGTCGTGTTAGTCTTATCGTGTAAGAGTCTTATCCAGTAAGATATAATTTTTGTTCCACGTCTGTGGCATGCATACCCTGACGTTGTCAAAGTGGACCATACAAGTTCCAGATGCCTTGATACCTAGCTTGTCCTCGGGCTTAGCTACTGTTAAACCAGGCGTATCGCGTTCCACGAAGAATGTCGTAATGCCGCGGTATCCCTGTACAACATTAAAAAGGATATTGCTGTCGTAAATTTTTATTTATACTGACAGATTTTATTCCAGCATATACATTACTGCTAGTATTATATTTGCTCATATTTTTTTATACTTTTCAAGAATAAACTTTTTTATGGAGGTTAATTTAAAGTGCAAAGAAAGAAACGGGTATAGATACGTACAATTATAAATATGTTACGTATTAGTTAGTAAGTACGAGTTATCTCTCATAGTTGTCACACGTGTACGGAAACAATCTGCGGATTTACTTACCGAAGAGGTATCCGCGTTAGCGAAAACCAGAAAAAGTCCCGCGATGTCGGAATTCGAGATCCACATTTTCGTACCATTTATCACATAATCGTTACCGTCTTTTTTCGCTTCGGTCTTCAGAGAAAATGCATCCGAACCCGAACCGGGTTCCGTTAGACAAAAGCTACCAGCCTAAAAAGTTATTCGTGTTATGCAGATATTAATACAAATTGTTCGGAAAAATCTAGTACGTGACAATATACTGTAAAAAATCTTGTGTACATAGTATGTAAACAAATATTCCAAGAAGTCCATTCTAAATTTTAAATTTCTAAATTTTATGTCGAAAATAATATTCATTTATATGTTTATTCGTGTGTTATTTACATTATGTATAGACTAGTATATAATATAAATAAGACACGAATGAACATACGAGTGAGTTATTTTCGACACAAAATTTAGAGTGGACTTTTTGGAACATTTGTTTACGTACTGTGTACGCAAGATTTTTTATAGTGTATACTATATGTGACAACTTACATAATTTTGTGCTAATTTAGGTAAATACTTTCGCTTTTGTTCTTCAGAGGCGACTTTAATAATTAACGAATTCACTAAAGTATTGTGAATGTCAACAAGAGCGGCTACAGCACCGTCGATCTTGGCGACTTCCTCGACCGTAAGAATTGTGCTCATGAAATTAGCACCTGTGCCGCCGTAATCTGTCGGAATTTCGAGGCCCATCAACTGAGAATAAAAAAAAGTTTGGGGGTTTTTAATAACATTCTTGAATTCGCGTTAATCTTTGATCTTATCAATTCGTTCGTATTTACAAAGAAAAGACAAATATTGATACAAATGGTGATCGTGTAGGTCATGCATGACATTATTTCCATCAAATTATCCAACGGTTAATCGAAACGGGGTTGCATCAAGAGACTCGTGTTATTGTATCGTAAAGAGGACTTATTGTTCGAAACTTTTTATGAAATTGCTATGTGGAATTGCTCTTGCCAATAAGATCTAACGATAAATTTTTATAGCTCACGTCTCTTTTGTCTTTTATTTAAATATTGTTGGAGCTTATTGGGGCTACGTTGAAATATATTGATTCCACATGATTGAAAAATCGGAAGATACGGAAGTCTGTTCAACAAGAAAAAAAACTGTCATCATCTGAAAAAAATAGATCGAATTTTTTTCTTGTTTTATTAAAATATACATTATAAGCTATTGCGCAATTATTTAATATTGGGTCCAATCCATTATTAATTGTAGTTTCAGATATTTTGTCCATGCTTTCAACCAGGTTTTCCGAGTACTCTGTTGGTAAAGATCACCATATCTTCTTAATTTGAAACACAAGCTGTTTCACAGTGTACACTGGCTTTCCTCTGAGCTTCATCTTCATGTAGGGCCACACATTTTCAATTGGATTTGCGTCTGGGGATATTGCCGGCCATTCCATCGTACTAACACCATTTTGTTGTTTCCAGGTAGTGCACAAATTGCTGCGATATTTGGGGTCGTTATCTTCTTGCAGCACCTTGTATTATCTGGTCCAAAAAATTTGTTTGCTGATCTCAGCAAGTATTTCTGGTAAATACTGCACATTTTTTTAGCGTTCAAATTATCCGTAAACGCGTAAAGGTAACCAAAACCGCGTTTATAGAAGCAACCCCATACGTGCACTTTTACTAGGTGTTTTACTGTACGCTGAAGAAGCCTACTACTCTTTGTTGACCAAGCTTTCGACAGGGAAGACCATGCCCAGAAAGAAGATTTGTCTGTAAAGATTACATTGTCCCAATCTCGATTCGAATTTTCCTTTGCAAATTTCAATCGTTTTGCAACATGTTTTTTTGATAGCAAAAGTTTCTTCAAAACTTATCTAAAAGACATGTTTTTTTCACGTAGGCGACTTCGAATTGTATTTAGAGAAACATAAATTCCTTTTGTGCGGAGTTTTATTTGAGTGCTGCGCAGCGAAAGTCCTGGCTTGTCTTGAAAAAGACGCACAATCGCTCTCTGCTCCCGTTCGGTCGTCGCGCGATCTTTTCCCCTTTCAGGCAGATCGTCCACGTTCCCAAACTCCAAATACCACTTTACCCACATCTTTACGAATGCCTCTGACTTCCGCATATATTTTACAGCCGCTTTATAAGTCAACTTAGGCCCTTTAGAATGGTTAACAAGAAACACTGTCTCATGGCGCTTCAGGAACTTTGCATTCATTATAAAACCAATTAATTTACAGACGTCAAAAATGCAATATACCGGTAAACTAAATGTTGCGCATAAGTAGAGAGTATAAAGATATCGATGATACAACACAGATAGCGCTACGGAATATTTCCATCAAATGACAATGGTCTTTTTCTTGTTGAACAGACTGTATATCGTAAAAAAATATCTCGCGTGATGTGGAATGTACATAGAAAAATATATTATCTTATCTTTAAACAACTTATAATGAGTAAATATATCCTTTTTTCGTTTTTTTAATGTAGTATTTATCATTTATTAATTGGGTCAAAGAAGTCTATGATATGTTGTCAATCATATCATACTTATGCGATAAACATGCACAAGTATTATACTTTGATAAACATATCATCTATTTTCGTTATTTTCATATTAAACAGGAATATTTTTCATTATGGAGATTTGTAATATGCCACCAGCGGAGATTAGTTTTCTCGGCATAGACTTTTATTTCGAAACTCGTCGATCGCATCTTTTTCTCAAAAAATCAAGAGATCAATATTACTTATTGGAATATACTTACGCCATTCTCAAAAAGCTTCTTCAAGAGACCGTCATCTATTTTTCCCTCTTTCTCCATTTTTCGAACAAGCGGGGCAATGTCTTCCTTAGCTAGTTTAGTAACTGACAGCGTGCAGACGAAAAATGCATTACATTCACGAATCATGAAGATGGATCGCGTAAGCGATAAATAAAACTCGATAAATAAAACTCTTATGAATCTATTAGCTCACTTTATGCATTCTTATTCATCGCGGAACGTCGATGGATGAGAAAAAAACTGATGCTTACCGGTTTCTTTCATCATAAGTTCATCTTCCGAAAATTGTGTCAGAGGATGATGGGATCTTGACGCAACACATAAATGTATTTTACGCTTTTGCGTTAATTTCTGCGGAATCTATAAGAAATATATATATATTTTAGAATATATATATTTATCATGCTTTTGTCGATTCCATTGCTACGCTTATACGAGACATATATGTATCTGTTGATTACGTAACAAGAAATATGTATTTTTGTATTTATTTCGTACGTCGAAGAAGGAATGTATCGAATACGTATCGTTTTGTAACTAACTAACTAACGTGTACTACGTATGTAGAAAATTTATGATTCTGGCTTATCGTGTGTATATGTGTGCTATGAACACATACAGTTATTTAACCTTAGTAGTTTAAACGTGGCACATAATAGGCGTTAAATTCCATACGGAACATTGTTAGCACGCGGAGCGCGATATTTTATATATACAGGTTAGGAAGTAAATTAGGAACTAGAAGATATGTATAATGTTCATTATAAATTAATATTTTGCGAAATATATCGAAGGATTGATCTTGTTAAAATTAAAAGCGATATTTTGTTGTGATGACGTACGTGAAAGTAACTTTGCCCGCATGTTACATACAGTGTGTAAATATTCAAATAACATAGGAATATTTTTTATGAATGTACTAAAAAACAATGTTTTATGTTTGCAGCATTCCCATAATACATTTAAATGACAACTATAAATGTTCTATATGTGTGCATAGAACATTCAAACATTCTGGAGTTAAGAACATTTGTTTTTTATAAGAATATTTATAAAACATTACATGTTATTTCTGAGTAAAAGTAAATGTATGTAAAAGATATGTAAGTATTGTGTTACTATCTCAAGTTTAAACATGTATTATTCCTCGTTAAACATCTCGAAATTTTTGATATTCTAATTATGTTCCTTTCCATAAGGTTGCTTAGAGAGCATCATGAATTTATTACCGGTAAATAATGTGCAAGAATTACAATAATGTATAAAAAAGTGCTGTTCAGATTTACAAAGTCAGAGTAAAATAAAATTATATGTGTGTGAGTTTGTATGTGTGCGTGCGTGCGATATGTACGAATGACACGCGACACAAAATATCTCGATTATAATAGATGGTAAGATAATCTTTCACTTACGTAATGAATGCAGCAAGGATAGCAATTTGTATACTATATTCAAACCGAGAACTACTTCGATGTAATTTCTTTTTTATAAGCGTTAATAAGCGTCAATTAAGCATGATTTATTGCACATATGTTATTATTGCATGTTATATTATCATGTAGCAGCATTACGAGTGTTCGACACATATTTTATCATTATAATAAAATTTAAAAGCTATTTATTTATCTATAGGATCTAATTACAATATTATGCCTGTTTAACAATATGCAATCGTTTCAGAAAAATTAAGGAGCAATGCGCTTTTTTATTTGCACTGTCATAAGCGTTTGTTAACAAGAAGTCTGTTAAAAAATTCTTCGAAGAAGAATAAACCTACCGAGTTCTAGAAAAACACTAACTTAATTACATGGAATACAATGACACAAAAAACTTTGTTGTAAATGAGCACAGATAAGATTATTTATGAGCGAGAGAGTTGTATAAATTAAAATATAAAAAAAATATTTCAAACAGTAAGATAAAAAATTATGTTAATCACGTACATTTCGGAAGGCCGATCTGAATACAGACGAGTTCATTCTTCACTTTTTTTCCTTTCAAATGGTCTTATAGACGTAGAATCGAAAAATTCGCCGGCGATATTGACGACCTGCTGACTGAACATATACTGCCTGGGATATGACATTGAAGACTGGTTCGTCCCCGCTTAACCACTGGATCACTTCAAGTCTCGAGACACACACATACTTTTATATATGTGTGTCTCGGAACAGGTTATTGCGTAACGGAAAAGTAGAAAAATAATCGCGTCGAAGTGACTCCAGCAGCCAATCGGCTCGCCTGGTGGAACAACGTGGTCTGTCACTCCCTCAATCGAATAAGCATGTGTATCGTATAATTCGTTTCCATCAATTCACAGATGTTCGCGTAGATTGGTGTAGGACATAACTTGGGCGTCCATGGCCATTTATTGGAGACGCGAGAAATATTCGTGTCATCTCCTTATCAATGAACACGCGACTTATCAAAAATAGACAAATACGTATTATTTGTCATGCAATTTTTTTTTACATGTTACAGCTGATGTTGCTATCAAAATGCACATATTTCGGCATATTATCTACTTAGTGATTAGCATAAATATACAAAGATGCGTCCTCACAAAATAAGAATTTTATTAGCATATAAAAATAAATCAGTTGATTTATTTTTATATGCTAATAAAATAAATCAGTTGATTAATTTTTATATGATTATTGTAGCAATAGGGCCACAATTTTCGTTCAATCAACTGATTTATTTTTATATGCTAATAAAATTCTTACTTTGTAAGGACGCATTTTTGTATATTTATGCTAATTACTAAGTAGATAATATGCCGAAATATATGCATTTTGATAGCAACAACAGCTATAACGTATAAAAAAAAATTACATAATAATTACGTGTTTTTCCATGTCTGACAAGTAATCTGATACCATGGAAAAAAATTACTGCTTATTTTTTCGTAATTAGTTTTTTCGCAATTAATCCAGAATTATTGCAATAATAAGAAGAATAAATATTTTGATTATGCTGTAAAATTATGCTGTAATAAAGATATATTATTTTTAAAACAACCATAACTTTAAACATATTAAAGTATTAAATATTTGCATGATATGTTCAGTACTTCTGTTTATCTGAGCAATTGCAGATTAACTTAATAATGCAATTTCGAATTATATCTCCGATAAAAGTGTTATGAAACTTTATTATCGCAATATGACGATTATTGTTTTCCATTCAATGTTTTTTTTTATTTTGCTGAAACGACGTCAATCGTTAATTACGACCGGCCAATCAATACGACCGCTGAATAACTAAAGAGAGAACGTGTGTGTGTCACTTGGAGATTAAGTATAACTTGTGAAATTGTTTAGCATAATTATCGTTGATCTATCAAAATAGAACTGCTGACCATAACATTTTGTGCCGTATGAAGTTTTAGTAGATTCTACTTTTACTCATGACGTTAGAAGCGAGAAAATGCACACTCTAAAAATTCTTGCGAAATATATAGAAATAAAAAAAAATGTATACATAAAATAACACTTGCAATCGACTGAACAGATATGTAAAATAGTCCAAACAATATCCTTTTGTTTTAATAATAAATAACTGTAAAATTAAAGTGACAAAATCATTAGAAACTGTAAGTTAAAAAAGTTTACAGTATTACTGTAAAAATAGTTACGATGTTAATTTTACGATAAATTTATTAATTGTTAGAGTAAAAAAAAAGCGATCGGACTTTTTTATAGGTATTCCCGATCGATTACAAGTATCATTCTATGTTATGTTTTTTTATTTCAATGTATTTTGCAAGAATTCCCAGACAGCACGAGCTCTAAAAATGACACATAAGATGACTTTAAGATGTCTTTTAGTTTTTATGACACCTCTAAAGATATATCAAAGGCATCTTAAATGACTAAAAGGCATCTTAAAGTCATTTTATGTATCGTTTTTAGAGTTTATGCTATCTGGGTTTTCAGCGTATATATTTTCTCATTTCTAATGTTACCGAGAGTTCTGCGGTGTTCAAGATATCTTGAGTATACATTATTACAGATGAAATAAACATGAATAAATTACATTCATGTGATCGTATTGATATCTAAAGAAGAGTTACTTAACATTTTTCAAAAACAAAGAAAAGTCAAAATCAAACGTGAAAATCGAATTACGCAAGAACACAAATTTTGAAATTATACAGAAAAATCTTTCTGTGATTACCCAAACAACATAATGTTTAAAATCAGGACATAAAACGTCTTACAGATTATCTATAAAATGTCTTTCAGGCGATTTACGTATAAATGTCTTTAAGATGTCTTAAAGATAATCTTCTTTTAGACATTATGTTGTCTGGATAGTTTAAAATATGTATAAATCTCATGCTATTTGTGTCGTTCCTTTGTGTCGTTCGATACGTGATAT